CTATACACATGGACCTCACCGGATGGAATACATATAAATCAAATTGACTATAGCTGCGCAAAGAGACAATGGAAAAGCTCTGTATCATCAGTGAGAACAAGGCCAGGGACAGACTGTGGAACAGACTATCAATTACTCATATGCAAATTCAAACTGAAGCTGAAGAAAATGAAAACAAGTCTACGAGAACCAAAATATGACCTTGAATATATCACAACTGAATTTAGAGATCATCTGAAGAACAGATTTGATACATTAAACAGTAAATACCAAAGGCCAGAAGAGTTGTGGGATGACATCAAGAACATCATACGTGAAGAGAGCAAAAAGTCATTAAGAAGACAAGAAAGAAGGAAAAGGTCAAAATGGATGTCAGAAGAGACTCTGATACTTGTTCTCCAACTTAGAGATGCTAAAGCAAGTGGAAGAAATGAGAAGGTCCAAGAGCTGACCAGAAAATTTCAAAGATCAGCTTGAGAAGATAAAGCCAAATATTACAACAAAATGTGCAAAGATCTGGAATCAGAAAACCCAAAAGGAAGAACATGACCAGAATTTCTCAGGCTGGGGAAACTGAAGAAAAAATTCAAGCCTCGACTTTTGTTATTGAAAGATTCTCCGGGCAAATTAGTGAATGATGCAGAAAGCATCAAGTGAAGATGGAAGGAATATACAGTCACTGTACCAAAAGGAAATGGTTCATATTCATCCGTTTCAAGAGGTAGCATATGATCCAGAGCCAGTGATACTGAAGGAAGAAGTCCAAGGTGCATTGAAGGAATTGGCAAAGAACAAGGCACCAGGAATTGATGGAACAAAAATTGAAATCTTTCAAGAAAGTAAGGTGGTACAGGAGGCACTCACTCATCTCTGCCAAAAAATTTGGAAGACAACTATTTGGCTGACTGATAGAAAGAGATCCATATTTGTGCCCTTTCCAAAGAGAAGTGACCCAGTGGAATGCGGAAATCATTGGACAATCTCTTTGATATCCCATGCGAGTAAAGTTTTGCTAAAGTAATAGAGAAATGGCTACAGTCATACATTGACAGAGAACTTCCAGAGATTCAAGCTGGATTCAGAAGAGGATGTGGAACAAAGGATATCATTGCTGATGTCCAGTGGATCTTGGCTGAAAGGAAGGAATATCAGAAAGATGTTTACCTGTGCTTTATTGACTACGCAAAGATTTTCGATTGTATGGATCATGACAAGCTATGGACCACTTTGCGAAGTATGAGTATTCTAGAACACTTAATTGTGCTCATGAGGAATCTGCACCTGGACTAAGAGACAGTTGTTCGAACAGAACATGGGAACACTGAATGGTTTAAAATTAAAAGAGTTGTGCGACAAGGTTGTATTCTTTGACCATACTTATTCAACCTGTATGCTGAGCAAATAATCCAAGAAGCTGGGTTCTATGAAGAAAAACATGGCATCAGGATTGAAGGAAGACTCATGAACAACCTGTGATATGCAGATGATACAACCTTGCTTGCTGAAAGTGAAGAGGACTTAAAACATTTACTGCTGAAGCGTAAAGAGGACAACCTTCCGTATGGATTGCATCTCAATGTAAAGAAAACAAAACTCTTCACCACTGGACCAATAAACATTCTTATCAAGGGAGAAAAGATTGAAGTTGTCAAGGACTTCATTCTTCATGTATCAACTATCAACACTCATGGAAGCAGCAGTCAAGAGATCAGACGACGTATTGCATTAGGCAAAGATGTCAGCTTGAGGACTAAGGTGTGCCTGACCCAAGCCATGGTATTTTCAGTAACCACATATGCATGCGAAAGCTGGACAGTGAATAAGGAAGATCGATCGTAGAAGAATTGATGCTTTTGAGTTATAGTGTTGGAGGAGAATATTGAAAGTACCACCATGGGCTGCCAAAAGAACAAACAGATCTGTGTTGGAAGAAATGCAGCCAGAGTTCCTAGGGCAAGTTTGCAGGGAGACGCTGGAGAAAAAATTCCCCTAAGGAATTCACCCAAAGTAGATTGGCGAATTCCGGGGTTTTGTCCAAAGAACAATAGTGTCAGCCATCTTAAATTGCCCCCAGGTGCAGATCATTGATCTAGGTGTCTTTCTTCCTCTTGCAAGTCTGTGCCAGGCAGCTGACACAGCGGGACTCCTCCCAATCCTTTTCACCTTTTCCCATTTGAGATTAGGTGCTATAGGTATGTTAATTAGGCTTGAGAAACAGAGTTGCTGCCCTGGGATATAACATATAACAATTTGCTTGAATTTCTGAAAAATTAAGGATGTTAGATTATCAAGACAATTTGTGATGTATGTTTTAGAATTTGATGCCTATGAATCATTGTGCCCTCTTTTGAACGATTAATCATATTTCACTTCTGTACCCTGTCTTAATAAACCCCGCCTTCCTTTGTGTAAAGCTCCTCCCTGAAATAAAACGGAGGCGCAGACCGAAGCCCGCATGCGTTATGGCTTGCAGGGCATGCATTGCGGCTTGGAGTACGGGCAGGCATTGCAGTTGGCAAGGTATGCAAACGGCATGCATAGCCAAATGTTTACAATGCAGGATCTGTCTGACGCCAGTTACGCATCCACTCTAGTTCCAGGGTGTCTCTTTGTCTCTCTCATTGCGTCTTTGTGTGTATTCTTTCTCTATCTCTGTCGCCGCCAGATCTCCCTACTTTGTGAACCGAACCCCCAAGTTGAGGCCGGTTCTCGACAGTGGTGTGCTATTATAGAATTTGTTCTGACTCTTAGTGATGGTACTTAACAACAAGATAAAGAAATGATTATCATAAAATTTAATAGAACTGACTACTTACCTAACATTTGAATGTTGGTTTTTATAGAATAAAAGCAGTAGAAGAAGATACAAAGAAAAAGTTGATGAATTTAATTAGTTAAAACTTGAAAACTTCTGAAAGACCTAGGAAATAAAATTTAAGAGTAGAGGAATCATTTTGTGGCAGGCCTAGACAAATTTACATATACAGTATCATCTCAGTGTGGGAAAACAGGACAAATGGCATTCTAGTGTTCCTCCAAAGTACTGAGACATCACTAATAATGATCTAAAAATTCTTACATTTATAAAGCTCTTAGTAATTTACAGTGCTTGTTTATAAGTAAAGGTGTGTTTGGTGAGGATGTGGTTACCAAGCTCTTGCTCCCTGCTGAAGGAAGGAGAGGCTTTCTGTTTTAGGGGAACCACAGCTCGCGTACATGATTGTACACACACACACAGCTGCTTAGATCAGGAATTGACTCTTGACCCTTGGAGAGCTGGCTATTGCATGTTTGATTGGGGACAAATCAGATCCTCTTTAAAATTGAATTAAGGTTGACTGAAGCTGTAGTCAAGCAACAAATCACTTGAACTGAAAAGTCAGTATGTAGTTAGCCATGTGAACTATCAAGAACTAGAAAACAGAAGGTTCTACTAAGAGAAGTGCTGTGGGTTAAGGTTGAACTGCAAGATTAGCAATTCAAACCCTATACAGGTCGCAGTGGGTCGGAACCAACTTGATGGCACTCAACAACAACAACAAGAGAAGCAAGGGCAGGGTTTGTACATAGTGTCAGATGCAAGGAGGATAAAGTTTGTTTTGTGTGGGAGACTGATGTCCCAGATGGCTTCCTGTCTGCAGCCCAGTCCCCATGGTTTGTTTCCGTGAAGTGTTTGCTTGCGTTGTCCCCACATGTATTTTATCTAAGCTGGTCTGGGTGCATGGGTCTTTGTTCTGTGCAGCCTGTCTGGAACACAGTTCCATCTGATGTTATTGTTAAGTGCTGTTGAGTTGGTTCAGACTCATAGCGGCTGTATATAGACAGAGTTTCCAAGGAACATCTGGTGGGTTTGAATGGCCGAGTTTTTGGTTAGCAGTCCAGTGCTTATCATACAGCACCACATTAGAGACACTAAATGAAGTGAGGTGTAGGAGGGCAGTACCTTCTGCTGATTCTCCACAGGTATCCAGGTCTTAGAATACAACCCACAGAGCTACTTGGCTCGATGTTTGCTCACCATTTCCATAGCATTTCATTTCTTCCCAGTTTTCTAACTGTTTACTTTCCCTTAAACTGTCATTTATGAGCTCTCCTAGTCGTCCCCGTCTCCCCCCTTTTTTACTTTTGTTTTGGTCTGTGTGATTTCTGTTTCTTTGTACTCAGCCAGGTATTTAGTAAACAAGTGGCAAATGCCTCTTAAGGCTTCACTGCTCCTTGTCCTGGGGTTTTCCTCCATATTCTCAAGTGTAAATGCTTTTGACCAGGTGACGGCTTACCTTTTCATTTTTTCCTTTTAGCAGTTGTCTAAAGAGCAAGAAGTTTTTAATTTTGATGATGTCTGCTTTATTTGTATTTTCTAGTTCCTGCTCCTTGTGTCCTGTCTCTAAGTTCTGCTTCGTTCCCTTTCACTTTTGATTCTTCTAAAAAATGCTAAGTGCCTAGCTTCTCACGTAGCCACGGGACAACAGCGCAATGGCAGCTCTAAAAGCCGGAGTTGGACTCGACCTTGTACCTCTGTTATTGCCACTCTTCTTTCATTGGTTTTGATTCTAGTACTTTTTCCTTGCTGCTCGTTATTGGTTTTTAAACTTGTAAGGAACTGTGGACTTAATTCTGGTATGGTTCCTGTTTTATGGATGAGGGAACTGAGGCTTATAAAAGTTACATGACTTTGCTAATGGCTTATATAGTTTATGATTATGCCAAGACCCCAAATCCAGGGCCTTTCAAATAGTTGTCTCACTGCTTATTTCCCTGTGAGGTGCTTTATGTTGTAAAGATTTTCCTGCCGACTACAACATTGTAAAATCCACTTAGTAAATGTGTTTCTTTAGTTCTCGCTGTCATACATATTCTCATTTAAAACAGTTGTATTAAAATTAGTAAGTAGGTTAGTTTTCTGAGAGCATTCTAATTTCCCCTTAAAATTTTATTAAGTGAAGATGCTGAATTTAACAGATTTTTGTTTTTTGTGTTTTTTTTTTCAATTCTTTCCAAAGGTCTGTAAACAGATTTGGCTAGGATTATTTGATGATAGATCTTCAGCAATTCCAGACTTCAGGGATCCACAAAAAGTGAAAGAGTTTCTGCAAGAAAAATATGAAAAGAAAAGATGGTGAGTGAATAGTTTCTATTAGCGTCAAGCCTGCCAACATCAGGTTAATTATGGATAAGGTTAGTCCCAAGTGGTGGATGGAGGGACACATGAAGGAAGGAAGGAGATACCCTTTTCTTTTTTTTTTTTTAATGTCCCCTTTTGTCCATTTATGTTAACTCACTTCTAAGGGACTTCAAAAGTTTGTGAAAAAATTCCACTAACTTTTCGTTCTATTTACCCATAAACTTTTGAGCCCCCTTATATGTCTAGAAGCAACCTTTTCATTATAATAATTATAAATAATACAACAGGCCTCTTAACTGTTTTTGAAAAGTTAGGAATGCATGTTGCTTATGTTTCCTTAGTCTTCCCTAGACATTTTTAGTCCTACAAAATCATCTTACTTAAAATCTTTATTCATTTTGTCAGCAAGTTTGCATTAAGTATGTTCTATATATCAGACACTGGTGTGTAATGGTTTAGCCACATAGGTGCACTCATGCTCTTTGCTCAAAGTATCACAATATTCGTCACTTCCTACCGAAAAAATACCCTCTCTACAGTGTCAAGAAAAGAGTACTGCCCCTGAGTCTGTCCATCGGGTGTTCATCTCCGAAAAGATATTTGGAAAGATAGGGACGTAGACTCCTAGTAAGCCTTGAAACCAGGGCAAGAAGGAATCTTGTTCTTCAGGGCTCTTCATTGTCAGCTACAAGCCCAGTTTAAGTACAGTGTACTGAAGTGCATTGAACTGTTTTCGTTGTTTCTTTATCAGTGTTGAAAAGTACTTATTTTTTTAAATGAGGAAGATTCAACAAAGAGGGAGTGTGAGTGGCTAATGGGAGTTAAAGTCCTCTGTTTCTCTGAGGAGCGAGATTGTCATTGTAATTCCTAGGGGACCCCTGCTTTAATGTTGCTTTAGTCAGTGAGCACATCTAGGAGTAACTGACCAGTATACTCTGCTGAACTTGGACTAGAATGGACTATTTTATCCTTTCCCCCAAATAATATTAAACAAACAAAAGACCCGTTGCTGCCAGTAGATTCAGACTTAGGCAGTCCCAGAGGGGCTTTCAGTAGCTGTTGTTTTCGGCAGTAGATGACCAGACCTTCTGAGACGAGACTGGGTGGAGCTCAACAACCGACCTTGGACTTCAGCAGTGAGCTCAGTTACTGTTTGCACCACTCACAGACTCTAAAGCAAGATTGCTGTTGCTTATTGCTACCAAGAGTGTTACAGCTCGTGAGACTCCTTCATGTGTGCGGAGTACAGCCCCCTAGAGCTTTCAAGGCTGGGACCTTTGGGAAGCAGGTCATCACCAGTCTAAACTGCTAACCTCTTAAGCATGGTCAGAGTTTGTTTGTCTCACCCAAGGGCAAAGCAAAATTAGCCAGAGGTACATTCAGCTGCACTGGATAAGCAAATAACATTAGGTATTAAGATACATTTAAAACTTAGTAATGAATTTTTTTTCATATCAAAAAGACAGTATTAGCGAGTGAGGTGATAGCAAAATTCTTGTAAAGCAAAGGGTATAATTATCCTTTTATTATCATAGTTCTTAGTTCCTAGACTGTCTACCCTGTAATTAGGACTTTTGCAGCCGTACTTTCACCAACACAGAATGTCACACCAGTAAGGACTTAGCTTGGGATAGTTTAGTTTAACATTTGAAAGACCAGAAGTACGTGTGATTGAGAGTTAAAATCTTAGATTCCCATTTACCCTCAGTGTGTATTCTGCAGTAGTATTTTCCTGCTGCTGTCAAGTCAATTCCACTTCATAGCCACCCCATTGGACAGAGTAGAACTGCCCCATGAAAACAAACTGTCACATCTTTCTACCATGTAGTGGCTGGTGAGTTCAAACAGCCAGTCTTTCAGTGAGCGTCAGAACACTTTAACCACTGCACCACCAAGGCTCCTTATAGTGTTTCTTTATTAGTATTAGTAAAACCATAATGCAAATCACTGAAAACGTCAACTAAGAATGTTATGTGGGTTTTTCTTTTTTCATTTTTGCTTTTCAATGAAACAGGAAAGTAGTGATAATAATAATACAAGTACGGACTTCAGTGGTGGTGGTGTGTGGGGGCAGAGAGGTATCTGACATCCAGGAGGGATGGTGGTTCTGTGCTGATGGGTCATTTTTCACTCATAGTGACCCTGTATAGGATTTCCCAGGCTGTGATTGTTTTCGGGAGCAGAAAGCCTCATCGTTCTCCTGTGGGTCTGCTGGTGGATTCAAACTGCTGACCTTGTTAGCAGGCCAGGCAAGATAGATAGGGCTCTTGACTTTTATTTTCCTTCAGCCTATTGAATACGTGCCTACTCTCTAGTTAGTGATTTCCCTTCCCTTCCTGGAGGACCTTATGGTGAGTGAAATTAGTCAAACACAAAAGGACATATTGTAGGAGACCACTCATAAGAAAATTCAAGGCAGGGAACATGAAATAAGGGAGCAGTGAAAAAGCTTTAACGTGGTAGAAGCCCCTTCCAAATGTGGTGGTGGTAGGTGGTTATGTGCCATAGAGTTGGTTCCGACTCATAGCGACCCCGTATTGGGTTTCCCAGGCTGTAAATCTTTACGGGAGCAGAAAGCCTCCAAATGTAGACTCCCTAAAAATACTCACTGCAAGAAGTACAGTGCCACCACAAATGCTACTTCCCTCATCCAGTGTGAATTCGAAGAGTTCTCAAAAGCACTTTCTGTGTCATACCGACAATCCCTGTCACAAACAAGATCTCTTTCTAAATGCACCTTTAAGTTGAATTTGAGGTAAAATTGGAGCAGGTGCATATGGTTCTTATTTAGCCTTACTTTAGTGCAAGGCAAGGAGCCCTGGTGATGCTGTAGGGTAAGCACTGGACTACTGACTGCCGGGTTGGTAGTTTAAACCCACCAGCTACTCCGAGGGAGAAAGAAGAGACTTTCTACATCCATAAAGATTTATAGCCTTAAAACCCTATATAGTCTGCTGTTAAGAGGTGGAATCAATTCAGTGAGAGTTGGTTTGTTTTTTTGATGGCATTGTGGTTAAACTACTTGACTGCTAATCAATAGGTTGGGGTTCCTCCGATTCATTATCAGCTCTGAGGGAGATGTGACTATCTGCTTCCAAAAAGATTTACAGCCTTGGAAACCCTGTGGGCAGTTATACTCTGTCCTCTAGAGTTGCTAGGAGCTGGGGTTGCCTCCTGGCAGTGGCTTTGTTGGTGCCAGAAAAGACTTGATGCCCTGTCAGTGATCTTGAACTGCACGGACGCCCAGTGAAGTGCTTGTGATGAAGGGATTGTTGTCCAGCCATGTCAGAGTGAAGGAAAATTGAAATGACAGTAAAGGCTCCTATGAGCTGTAGTCAGCTGAGTGGTTCTAACTCAGAAATTTACAGTGCCGTATCAGTTTCTTTAAATTGGGTCAGATTTGTGGACCAAAGCTGTGATCTGGTTTTATCCTTTGGTAAGACTTGGCTGTAACTGAAGAAGCCTTATCATCAGTGATACACTGAACTATGGGCAAGCGTAACTTCCTGTATTTGCTCTCATGTCCATTTCTTCTCTTCCCTCCCATCTACTGAGAACACAGCGGCACTGGGTCTCTTTCCTCTGTTCCTCTGTAGTTTGATGGGAATTTTTGCTAACAATTACTGCAAGCTGTTCTGGGTGCCTTACCAGTGTTAACTCTGGCACACCTCACAGCAGCAGCTCTGCTTCCATTTGATGATGAAGAAACCAACCTAGGCATAGTGAGTTGAAGTAGTGCCCCGAGGGTCACTTGCATTCGATGATGGTGCTGGGATTTGAACTCAGGGTTTCTGTGTCTGAAATCCATGTTCTTAACCTTCTCCATTTCTCTGTCTCCCCTGCTATTACGTACTTGCTATGTGGGCAAGGAGAAGGAAGGCAAACCCCCAAAATACAGGGATTTAAAGCTCTTGCATAATCCTACCCCACTAGATTAGTATTGTCAATATTTGGGGATTATATTCTGTCTCTGTTCTGCTCTTCACTCCCTCCAATCACAAATCACATATTTCATGACCTGAAAGATGCATAAAGTCTTCTGAACATTTCTCAGTGTTAGGAGATAGAGTAACTAGGGACTTGATTACATAATCACTTTAAGTAGTTCTCTCCTGGTGGGTGTTTGCGTCATTCCCCGTTTTTTGAAGTTGTAGAGAGTACTGTGGTAAAGATCTCTCTACACATGTATCTGTGTGTGTCACCAGAGGTGAACTGATGTAGTGGCAGTGGTATGTGACTTGACCATGTACTCCGTATGAAGACAGGACAGGAGCGGGCAGTGTTTCCTTCAGTTCTGTTCAAGGTAGCTGTGAGGTGGAGCCCACTCGGGGCAGCTCACCCATGACACCTACCTAGTCAGGTCTTCAGGACAAGTGCTAGGGGTGGTATTGGCAGCACCAGTGTGCCTGCATCTGTGTCTCAGTGAGGAGAAACATGTTGATTTCGTTTATGTTCAAATCTAAATCTGAAGTGGGTATTCTTATTTCCATTTTTCATGGATTGCAAATGGTTTCATATTTTCATTAGTCATTTATATGTCTTTTGTGAATTGCTGATTCTGCCCATTTCAAAATTGAATTGTTGATTGTGTGTTTGTGTGTGTGTGTATGTAATTACTTTATATTTAAGGTTATTAACTTATATAATTAAATAATCTTTTATCTGTCTACATATGTTATTTGTGATCTTCAAAATATTTTAGTTTTAAAAATTCATGTACTATTTAAAAATTAATGTACTAAAATAACTATTCATGATGATTGAACTGTATGTCCCCAGTAGTTAAAAAATAAAAAATTGATTTCCTTTGTTGTATTTATCACCTTATAAAAATCATAAATTATTGAAACAATTTTTATGACTTATCTTTGTTGCTCTGAGTATTTCAGTTAAGTTATATATAGTTTTATGCCATCATAATTCTAAGGTAGAACGTTTTCAAATAAGATGAATATCAAAATTAGAATAAAGCTTGTCCTTTTTGAGTCTGGGATTCCTTATGTTTCTCTTCGTTAACTGCCTATTCTCATTTCTAATGTAGGTATGTCCCACCGGAGCAAGCCAAAGTGGTGGCATCAGTTCACGCATCTATTTCAGGGTCCTCTGCCAGTAGCACGAGCAGCACACCTGAGGTCAAGCCACTGAAATCTTTGCTTGGAGATTCTGCACCAGCTCTGCACTTAAATAAGGGCACGCCTAGCCAGGTGAGTCACCTGCAGATGCTTGGAGGGCTGTCTACCTAAGGGAAATTGAGGATCAAGAGTTGACTAGCAAAATCAATAGCCTATGTGTGCTACTGACTTAGGGTGCATTAAAAGCATGTTGGTTACATAGTTAGAATTTGTATTTTGTACACAAATGTATATAGTATACATTTAGTAAAACAAGAATCTAGAACAGTGCATCAAAGGTAGAACAATACAGCTTTGTGATACAGTTTGACAAGACAGGATTTCTCAAGTCTCAGATGCACGTGCATCTCTGAAACACAGGTGGCTTTTCAGTACACATAATTCTCAAAGTGGGAGCTACTGCTCTGCACTCAAGTTAACTGAGCTGAAACAGTTTTGTCACTGTGATGCACTGTAACCTCTGTCCTACACAAGGACAGTGCTGAGCAACAGTAGGTCTAAAGTAAATCTCACCTGAGCACCTACACAAGGCATCAGTTTTCACAAAAGATTTGAGTGAAAATCAGTGTACTGTAACACTTCCTGTGTGTATAGGACATGTCCTATGAAAGTCTTATTCTAACACTGTCTTGGCAAGAATTGTCCTGAGTTTTAACAACTATTAGGATTTATTTCTTTGCATTTAAAATTGAGACTGTAAATTTAAAATAGAAAGAAAAGATAGAAAAATATGATACAGGAAATATGACATATAATAAATATAGAAAATAGAAGATAGAAAATTGAAATATGAATTGAAAAATTAAATGCTGTTCAGAAGCATAGACGTACCTAAAACTCCAGTGAAAGAATGTGTGATCTTTAAAAGGTTTTGAGCTTGGTGAATTGGAAATAGTTTCCTCTCAAGCTAACTGACCAGATCTGATCTGACGAGAAGTCTCTTAGAGCTAACGTGTGGTCTACAGTCCCCTGTTGTAGGGCGCTCCCACGGCCAGCAACAGGAAAAGAAGCAGTTTGACCTTTTGAGTGATCTTGGCTCAGACATCTTTGCTGCCCCAGCTCCTCAGTCAACTGCAACAGCCAATTTTGCTAACTTTGCACATTTCAACAGTCATGTAGGTAAGTGGTTTTTTCAAACAGCTTTTGCCAGATTGGCACCAAGAAACTGTTCATTCTTTAAAAAACTATTTATTGTGTTTCTGGGAAAGGTTTAGAGACATTCAAAGTCTGTTGAGAATGTTTGGTCACCTGTAACTATTGATGTGTCTGTCATATGGAACTATTTGATAGTTTTCCTTTTTTATCAGAGGAAGATTATATTTAATGTCAGATTTCCATACGACCTTTTTCCATGGAAAAAATGGAGACTTCTAACTCTTTCATTTTGTAAGATTGCCGGTATTTACAAGTAGCTGGACAATAGAAACTTCCTGGGCTCATCACTCATCATTAGTCTTGTCAGTCCACAATTCCACCCAGCAACTCAGATCTAATATTAGTTCATCCTTAATTATTTTAGCTTATCTGTCAAAAAGAAGAACGTTCTTTTTAAAGCACAGCCACAGTAACATTATCACTCCTAAAAACAGCAACACTTCCATTAGTAAATATTCTAATTTTATGAATCATGTGTCTCAAATTATTTCAATTTTGCTTGTATCTATGTTTTTTATAATGAAACACTGCCCAGTCCTGGGCCATCCTCATTATCTGTCATTTGTATGTTTGAACCCATTGTTGCAGTCATTGTGCCACTCTGTCTAACTGAGGAGCTTTCTTTCTCTTTTTCACTAAACCTCTGCTTAGACAAGCATGATGTCCTTTTCTAGGGATTGGTCTGTCCTCGTTGTTGTTAGGTGCCATCAAGTCGGTACCGACTCATAGCAACCTTATGCACAGCAGATCAAAACACTGCCCGATCCTGGGCCAACCTCACTACTGTTGTCACAGTTGAGTCCATTGATGCTGCCACTTGGCTAATCCATCTCACTGGGAGTCTTCCTCTTTTTCTCTGACCCTCTACCTTAACAAACATGATATCCTTCTCCAGCAACTGGTACCTCCTGACAACATGTCTGAAGTATGAGAGACGAAGTTTGGCCATCCTGGCTTCCAAGGAGCACTCTGGCTGCACTTCTTCCAAAACAGATCTATGTGTTCTTTTGGCAGTCCATGGCACTTTCAATAATCTCCTTCAACACAATAACTCAAAAGCATCAATTCTTCCATGGTCTTCCTTATTCAATGTCCAGCTTTCACATGCATATGAGGTTATTGAAAATACCATGGCGTACCTTAGTTCTCAAGCTGACATCTTTGCTCTTCAACACTTTAAAAAGGTCTTGTGCAGCAGATTTGCATAATGTAATACGTTGTTTGATTTCTTGACTGCTGCTTCCACGAGTGTTGATAGTTGATCCAAGAAGAATGAAGTCCTTGACAACTTCAATCTTTTCTCCATTGATAAGAAGAATGTTGT